TGGGTTTCATAAGCCAGCCCGGAACTCTGGCTAATGTCAATTCTGCTCAAAATTAATTGTCAGTCATCTCGCTCAGCCAATGATTGACAACAACTCTGGCTACCAGCTTCTGCAGAAGCCAAAAGTGCGTCACAAGACCACCAGGGAGTCTTGAAACTCAACAGGGCCAGGGTACTGTTTGTTCCATTACCGTACAACTGGGCCTGGCTTCTGCTCATATCATAACCACTACTGTGGTCTTGTCATAGTTATGTTGCTTCGAGTGACTCTTTAAAATGTTATATTCCTAACTACTAGCCAGGCTTTGGAGCCACAGCATAGTCTGGAGGGAGGGGCCACAGCATAGTCACCATAAGTGATTTCTACTCGCCAAAGCTAAATTTTCACGCACCAAAACATTTGGAAAATTCTGAGCCTTGGGTTAGAATTTCAGGGAATGTACTATATGTAGTAGAGGTCTCAAATGTTAACCTATACATACCATGTATTATTATTAATGATTGATTGCTATACAGGTTTACATTGCTCTGTATAGGGCAAATCTATGTCCAGCTATGTGCAGTCATTATATTTCAATGCTAAAATACCATCAGGTACTTTACTAATAATAACCGTAAGTGCCACTAGTTTGAATCATTTGTGTTAGTCACACCTACTTATACGTACCAGAATTCCTACTTCTATGCAGATATATCAGTCCATGACTGCAGTAACATAAGATCAGGGATGACCACATTATGTATACATTTTATGTCCCCTCACCCCAAGTATATCTGTAAAGAATGAATGAATAATGAAAAAATTAAATTGTGTAAATTTACATAATTACAATTTTATTTCTTGAACGTCTATGCACAATTTTCTTTTTTCAACACTTGCTAGCTAAGCATTCCGTGTTTCTAATACATTTTATATATAAATATATTTTTTAATATTTTTCAAGCAAAAATGCTTGGGGATTAATATAAACACAATTAACCTTTAATACCGGTACATAGAGAGGTGTAATCTGTGATTTTGGACTTGTTTGTTATAAAGAAGGCAACACCAATGATCACAGCTACTGATCCCAGCATGTGATTAGACAGTCTGCTGCTTGTGTCTTTTTAATAAATAGAATCCACTGAAGCTCAAAAGAGATAGCTAATACGGTTGGAAGTTGCTATGGAGATAGTGTATTAAGGAATATGGAAAATAATGACAAGATTAAATCTCCCCCAACATTTGTACCTGGATGTGGCGGTGCCAATTAGACAAGGACAGGTCTGTGTTACTGTATACTAGTAAATGTCAATTATACCCTTGTTATCCGTGCTCACCAGTTAATTTGCTTCATTTTTCTGTATGTTGAGTTATTTAAAATGTGTTGGGTTTTATTTATTTATTTTATTTTTTTTACCAGCTTCTATTTTTATTTTACTTTTTTAAATAGACACATTGCCAGTTTATGGGTGTAAATGATCTACGGTAATCATTTATAATATTATGTGAATGACTGCGTAATATTACTTAACAAGTGTTGTATCTATGTAGCATAATAAGTTACGGTGTCGCGCACACACTCAGGTATATGAAAAAGATAAGCGCTTCTTGCTAATTGAGAAGTTATTACAGGGGCACTCTAAGCTGCAGTGGTCCACACCAATAAGATTTTTTTTTTGTTATGCAGATGATACTTTTACATAATTATACTAAATTAAATGAAAATGGAACAAAAATAGCAACATGCCTGCAATATCTGCACTTTGCAAGCTATATTTCCCATTGCGACTGACACATTGGCTGCTGATATATGACAGTGCTCTCCCATAGAAATGTATGGCAGTAGCACTGAGCATGGCTTCTCGGTTGTAGACGCAGGATTTCATAGCTTGGTGCCATGAGGTATGTAATATAGAATGGGAATGGTAATGACGTCATGGTGTTTTAGCGACAATGTAATAAACAGATAAGATCCTTTTCCCTAACATTCAGTTTCCCTTAATACACACATCCTAGGTTGGTGCTAGGACTACTTTAGTTTTACAGCGGCAGCAGGACATGTCCAGGGGTGACCAGATTTGTGGGAGTTATGCTCCATTTATTCAGTCTCTCCCCTGATAATATGTCAGTATAGGAAGTATAGAGACTCAATTGCTCTGTTTATTTGGCAACTCTCCCCATCATACATGTCACTAACCGAAATAGGCTGGATTAAAAATATGAGCTGTAAATAGCCACTTCTGGATGGGATCATAACTCCTGTGAATCTCTAGCGGACCGGGAAATGGCCTCCTGTCAGTCAAACTGCATTAATGAAAACTGAAATAGGAAGATCACTTTCAAAAATGAATTCTATTTATAATTGTTTGCCAGAGTCTCCATCATTAGGCTTAACGGTTTTAAATATACTATTTATATCTTAGCTGTTGCCCTCTCTCTTCCTATCAGTTTAACTAAGGCACAAGAAGTGTGGTGGACAGTTTTTTTAATTTTAAGCCCGCTGTGCACCTATCTTTTCATCATCATACTTTCTGGTTGTTTTTATTTTTTGTTTTATTTTATATTATACGTAGAACAGTATAGAATAACTCCACATCTAATGTCTTCTGTAGGTGCATGTTTCACCTTTTCCCTCTTATTTTATGTATTTTCTTCCTTTGCTCTTGTTAAAATTCATGGATTCCGGAGACTTTGACCAGAATACTAACAGTTGCATTAGATGGCAGTTTGTGTGGAGATTTATAAACAAGAAAATAATGGACAGTGTAGCCCTGTTTTGTGTGTATGTGTGCGTATGTAAACAAAAGAAGAATAAATGTATCAATGGTTTTCTTGGGAATGTGCAATAACGAAGCATTTATCATTCTACCTACAACTAGCTGAATATTGTGTGATCAGTTTTTATGGTGACTATATATGTATTTTTTCTTTCAAATAATCCTACCTTACAAACGCATAAACAGGGCATGTCTTTAACCCCCCGTCTTTCTTTTTAGTTTAATGCATCCATTTCAAAGCAACACTCACAAAGGTTAAAAAAACCAAACAAAAAACCACCATGGATAGTCTCTGAAGCAGAGTTCAGGTATAACGACGGTACATTTTGTTCTAAACACCAGAGACAATTTAAATTAGAATGCAAAGCACCATAACAACTTTTGCTCCTTGTGCTTCCTGCATATATTTGCAGTGATGCTCTGTTTAAATCATCACCTCCCTTGCTGTGTAACAACCTGAGCCTCCGTCAGGTGCACACATGATTATAATGTTCTCCTGTGAATGGAGCTGTCATTTAGCTGATGGCACCAACAGAGCCATTTAGACAGAAGTTCTATTAATCTCGTATAAAGAATGGGCTTACTGCCAAGTGCTTAACTACATGCTTTGTTATGGGCTGACCTCACAGATGCCAAAACGCCTAAGAATTTGCAACAAATAGAGGAACTTCAAAATTAATATATTGTTTGAAATATTTTGCATATTTTCTAATTCCTGTTCCATACAACGTATTCAGGGCTATTCACCAAAGTGCGATTTGCTGAGAATTTCAAAATGTAGAACAATAGAACAATGCTCTGTCAATTCTGTTTTCATTTGGCTATTTTTGCCTGAAATGTGAAATTCACATTAAAGGTAATGTTTAATTTACATTAAACACAAACTTAAATCCTGACCCTATTGTGTTAAAACCACCATCTAGCCACGTTGGCTGCCCCGTTGGCCACTGCCTTGCCTCCCTAAATATAGTAAAATCTTACTTGTATTCAAGCCTGCAGCTGCTGTCTCTGCCCCTGAACTGCCTCTGTCCTGCCTGCTGTCTTCTGACATCATCAGAAGTGGTGTTCTGAGCCAATCACAATGCTTCCCCATAGGATTGGCTGAGACTGTCAAGGAGGCAGATCGGGGCAGAGCCAGCACAAGTCAGACAAAGGCCTGGCCAATCAGCATCTCTTCATAGAGATTAATTGAATCTGTGCATTTCTATGAGAAGGTTCAGTGTCTGTATGCAGAGGGTGGAGACACTAAATGTCAGTCACACTGTGCAGCTCTGCCCCAGGAAGCACCTCTAACAGCCACATGAGGAGTGCCCAGTGAAGTTATCACTAGGCTGTAATGCAAACACTGCATTTTCTCTGAAAAGACCGTGCTTACAGCAAAAAGCCTGAAGGGAATGATTCTATTCACCAGAACAAATACAATTAGTAAGTCATCCAAAATCCCAGAATGGCACCGCCCCCTGGCCACACTCACTCACACCCCGAAAATGAACGTATCCCTCCTTTTCCATTTGAAATTTTGGGAGGTATGTTATGGTGCTTTAAGTGTTCTTTTTAAAAACCCCAGTAAAAGTGACACTGTGACAAGGAATGTGCAGAGAAAGAATGTTTTTTACGTGATAATTCCATGATTTAACTCGTTCTCACTTTGTTTTTTAGTTTTTCTTCCTTCCTTCCATTTTTTTTTAATTTCTTTTTTTTAAAAGCCATTCTTTAATTATCATGTTTTTGCATTTATGTTGTGATTTACCACAATAGGAAGCAACATTTCTTTCATCCCTCTATCTGTAAAGGTAATCTTCATGTAAGAGCCACCTTGGGTTTCTCTGATTTAGCTCAGATTGGAATGTTTCATCCTTGCATTGTATGTGCATTCTTCCATATGTGAGAGAAGTGCTACCATTCTAGATTGAGAACCTGCCTGTTAAATTGGTTTATTTTCTCCACAACTGTGGCCTATTGTATTTTATTAAGTCATACAACAGAAGATGATGAAGTAACAGAAAAATAAAATCATTATTTTTTCAGAAAGTATTCTGTTCTAATTGGATGTACGAGTGTAGACGGTCAGCTTGACATCACCCTAGCTGTATGTTTGTCACTTGTACAGAAATTCTTGCCCTACAGTGGCAAAGCTTAATATCCAATAATGCGAACCGTATGATATTGTTTAGCTTTCATCATGTGCGAATTATCTGTATCATTGAAGACTGGAGACAGTCTGGTTTGATGATTATTATTATGATATTTATAGAGCGCCATCAAATTCCGCAGCGCTTTACAATGGGTGGACGAACAGACATGTAGTTGTAACCAGACAAGTTAATAACCCATTGTAAAGCACTACGGAATCTGATGGCGCTATATAAATAATAATAAAATAACGTATTTCAACAAGTAAAGATCACAGAATTCACTTTCGGAAGTTGTTTGTACTATGTTTTTGTGGGTTTTTTTTAATACTTAAAAGCAAACCTTAGGTCAGGGGTGGTGAACCTTCGACACTCCTGATGTTTTTCACTACATTTCCCATAATGCTCTGACAGCCATAATTCTGGCAAAGCATCAATGGTGATGTAGTCCAAAACATCTGGGGGGGGGGGGGCAAAGGTTCCCCACCCCTGCCTTGGGTAAATACAATGTAATTTTTGTTCTTCAAGAGTAATTTCATAATAGGCATTTTTTACAAATTGTTTTGCTTAAAAAAAAAAAGAAAAAGGGAAAAATTAATATAAGGTAATTGGATGCACCTGGCATATGATTATGCAAAACAATGACAACCGAGGGGTTATGATGATGGCATAAGATTTTTATTTTTATTTTTTTTCCTACGTTTAAAATCGTATACATTTTCAGTTATACTAGCTGTTACTCACAATACAGTAATGTGTTTTTTGTTTGTTTGTTTCCCTCCCACCCCCCCAATACATGACTGTAGAAAAAATTAGGAGAGCCCAGGTCACAACAGAAGTATGGTTATAGCATATTGTTAACTATAGCGTTAGGAATTACTCTCCTCCCTTCCCTCCCGTTTGCTATACAATTGATAAAATATAGGGTTTTGCTAACCTTTTTCCAGCACCGAGGTTTCCTCAGTTTACCCCGATATTATCGAGGTGACATGGCTCCTCACCCGGACCGCCAATCGAGCTTGTATCCAAAGTTCCTCATAGAATAGCATAGCTTTCCTATTAGCGGCAGTTACGCGACTGTGTACTTCTGACTTGCATCATAAAATATGTTGGTTTTCAAATTTTGTGTATTAGACACCATTATTTTCATGTGATTTGTGTTTCAGATCCAATATATTTATATTTATTTTTAATTTCTTACAGCATGTCTTTATGCTGATGGAAAGTGAATGAAAACTGCTCCCTCTGTAGAGTTCATATGCTACAGAAAATAATTTAATTCCTTGATTAATTAAAACTTTTCCCTCGCAGAGCATGTACAGTGTTCATATTGCGTTTTATGTTTTCATTGTTTAAATAACTCTATATTTATAATTTAGCAGGATTTGTAGAATATATTTAAGCATTTATGTAGCCTTCAGCGCTCATCTCAGCTGATAAACAAAATATAATGCTGTAAAAAATGATTTTCTTTATGCAAAGACACTTTGATTTAGAAATCAAAATGTAAATTTATTAAACTATACTCTGCATTTAGCCATTGTTAATTTCAGTCCTTTGATTAGTGGTTGTCAGACTGAATTTTCATATAAAACATTATAATAAACAACTGCTAAATGCTGAAATGAAAATAACTGCAGTGAAATTCAGTCTTTCTAGACAAAAATCTGATATGTATATTTAATTTTTGGTCAGAATATTAAACCTGCTTTTAATAATGCTAGGAACTTGTATGTCTATAAAAAAATAAAAATAAAATGCAAATAGTAATCATATAGAAACAAACAAACCGCCAATTCTATATTAAATTAAAACCCATTGGAGCAATAGGTAGAGAGAACAGACGACTTGAAACGGAAGAATAGGAGCTATCCACACGACACGCACTACACCGAGACACCTGACACACGCTATAAACATACACAGGGAAAAGGCAGTGGGAACCCTGAGATGTAGGACAGGGCACTGAGGCTGAACTAAAGGATTGTAACACCCCTATAAAGGAGGCGCAGTGAACCTCAGCGAATTAGACAACTAGGGGTCAGGCAAAAGGAAGTCTAATCACCAACGCATAGCTGCCCTAACCCTGAAGAGTATGCTTAGATGGGGGGTGCAGCCTGAATGATGTACTCACCTGAATTTATGTACCTTTATTTGTTGTTTGAATACTATTCTATGTCTACTTTCTGTATTACCTAATACTTTGAAAAATATTCTAATAAACAAAGATTGACAAAAAAACAACAAAAAAAACCCATTGGAGACTGGAGAAGTCAATATTCGTTGCATTTTCAGTTGAATTTGGGGAAACCACTTGAAACATTTGTTAGCTATTTTAAATGCTTTTGTTTTATTTGTTCATTGTAAACAGCTGAAAATCTGTATATTTTGACAGTAAAACTGATTTTCAATGGGGATTTAATAAGTTTTATTACAACTGGATACAGTCTGCCTTCCACTTTGAGTGAATTTGATTCCTCCTCTGTACTGTTTGCGGTTCCCTCTTCCTACGTCATCCTCCAGGCAGGCATGGATCTCTCTGCTTGTGCCTTCTTCCTAGACGCTAATGGACTTGTCCGCCTACATCTCTCATGCACTGCCATTTGTGGCTCATAGACGAAGTAATACAGCTCTTTTCTCCCACAGGTCTTAAGAGGTATTAACGCATTAACGAGGACCAACATTAAAAACAGCCTTAAGAGAACACTGAATGGTGTCTTATTTCATTTTTTTTTTTTGTCCTAAACAGCGCAGTCATTTAGAGTCCAGGGCTCCTTTGTAACAAAAAACCAAACCAGTAAATAGACTTGTTACCTGCAATCCCAGCTGAGATTTCCTCTTCTCTGCAGCCCGGTCCACCGCCACTGAAGTCATTGGTCTTGATGACCATTCTGTCTAATCAAATGCTTCTCTTAGAGAAGCATTGTGGAATTAATGTGCCTGTTTTGGCAATCACTGCAAAGCACCAATCAAATACTTCTCAAAGAGAAGCGTTGAATACAATGTTTCTCTGAGTAGTGTTGTGTAAATGTTCAATGTCCTCATGGTGAACAGTAAGAACAGTCTAACTTGGTTCTCCCTGCAGAAGCTCCATCTAGTGGCTGTCTGTGTTACAGCAGGTAGAGCTGTGTTTAGCCCTTCAATGTAAACATTATCATACAACCAGAATGGCAATGGCATGGTCACTTCGTTGAGATCAAGTGGTCTGGGTGCTTATAGTGTCTTTTGATTTTTGAACAATGACTAGCCTTCAGTGACTTCTCCTTAAACAGGTGGTGACACATATTTATATCTAAGCATACATAATACTGAGGAGCAAGCAGTGATAATTAAAGGGACACTCCTGGCACTATAACTTCATGTCAAGTAAGTTGTTCTGGTTGAAGGAGATCCCTCCGCACTGTCCTTCCTTTAAGTGGTTAATGAAGAGTTTAGCCCCAAACTGTAGAAGATGGCTCCTGGTTGCTCTGCTTAGCAATGTCCTTTGTTGGAAATGAGCGCCTTCCTTTAATCTCTGTTATAAACTCTGCTCTTGACTGTAATTGAAAATAAGTGCCGGAGAAGCAGATATGTTTGTTTCTCCTTCTCCGTCGCATAGTGTGTCCTAGTTGTGCACAGGACTGGACTGAACAGAGATTTTATAAAAGACATAATATTTGATTTTAAATGTTTTATTCAGTAGTGTAATTTTTAGAAAAAGTGATGGTACCCCTTTAAATGAATATAATATGGCAACACTTGATATTTAAATTATTTTCATATTGAGACACGCAAAGCAATACCCTGGATTGTGACTTTTTTTTTTTTTTAAATGGAGTTGTTAAATAAAGGGTGTAAGTAATAGTAATATTAAAAAAATATTGTGAAGAAGTGTTCCCCTTTAAGAGATGCACTACAAGCTGAAATGTACTTATCATTTAGCATCAGCTATAAATTATTATTTATATTTTTGCTAACTCATTACAGTTTATTCACCGATAGTCCCCCCTTAAATAAAACCAACAAAAAACAGCAACCAACTGAGCTGTAGCTGGCGTATAAAGCAAGTGTAACATACCAGGAGCTGTCATTAAAAACCGTGGCGCGTTCAGGTCACCACCTCCGGAGAGGCTGTTTCTTTAGAAACCCAAATTCTTGCATTCTACAATGGATAAAGAAAAATGTAGATGATGACAATTAAAATGCAAATCCTTCTTACAAACACTTCAGCTTAATATGCCAGTGCCTCGGAGACTCAGCCAGTCTGCTCTTAAATCTGTTTAATAACCCTGCATTATCTTGTTTATTGTGAGCCATAAGTAGCTATACCTTGCTAAGAAAATTCTAATGTATATTTGTATCATGGAAGTCTCTCAAACCTTCACTTAACTCAGTGGGAAACAAAGTATATCTACCACAAAGCCTAATGATGTCGGCTCTGCACCAGAGCTTGAACATGTTGACTATAAATATGCTATAACGTGAAAATAAATAACATTTTATAGCCCTCTTAAAATATTAACTATATCATTGCCAGAAAAGACTTATAGTGTTTTGTTATCTGCACAGTTTATCCCTGTAAGTGAAAATGTATTATCCATTTGGGAATGGATCTCTACTGCTTATTGCACCAACAAGACAATTGCGCTATATGGACAAAAGTATTGGGACACATCTCTAATTCTTTCAATCAGATCCATTGCCAGAGGGATATAAAAACCTAGCCATGCAGTCTGACAAACATTTGTGAAAAAATTGGCTCGTTCTGAAGAGCTCAGTGAATTAAAGCAAGGTGCTGTGATAGGAGGTTCCTGAATATTCCTCCCCTCTAGATATTCTACAGTCAACTGGAACTGCTATTATTAGAAAGTGAAAGCGATAACCATTTTTTCCCAAAAAATAAGCCCTAGCTTATTTTCAGGGATGCTCGTAATATAAGCCCTATACCGATAATAAGCCCTAGTTGAGATCGCCGCCAGTTCACTAATCTATGTTCTTTGAATTTTTCCCGAACATAGATTTGTGGGATTCCATGCGCTAGTAAGATAATCTATGTTTAAAGAAGTTTCCACAAACATAGATTCGCGGGATTCCCTGCGCTATTGAACTGGTCTGTGTTCGGGGGAATTCCCCCAAACGTAGACCTGCTTTCTTGCACATGCTTGCTACCGTCTCCCCCCGAAAATAAAACATCCCCTAAAAATAAGCCCTGGTGCGAAAACTGATATAAGACCTGGTCTTATTTTCGGGAATAAAGGG